TGAACTAAGTCTCATTCCTCGATTGAGCACAAGAGGATTTTGTGGTTGAATTCAAATTTACCTTTGTCTGACATTCATACTTTGATAGTGAAAACCTTTGAATATTTTAACTTCTCCCAACCAAAAATCAGGAAAACACAGTGCATCACTACAGACAATGTCTAGGTTATTCCACAAACTATGTATTAATAGTATTTGGTCTTTGTGGCTTATTCCTAAATAAGACGATGCTTTCATTGACGAAGTTTGTGTAAATCTGCAAGCAAACTCAAAAATCCTCAAATGCTTTTAGAATTATCTTGTTGCCCAAAATGGATTAAATGACAGATATAATGTCCTTCCTTTTGTCTTTTCAAATCTTTAAGTGGGTTTGGAAGAATTATATGTGATGTAGTATTAAGTGTCACCTGTATGGAGACTAAGACACATGCTACTGTCATTCTAGCATGAGCTTAGTTTCATGCTTGATGGCAAAACTGTGTAGCATTTAGCAAAGCAATTCTTAATCTGCATTTAGTTTTCCTAATGAATAGGAGACCATAATGAATAAGCATAATTTTGGAGGATGTGTCTTGTGGCACAGTGAGGATGTTCCTGTCTCTGGGACAGAAGGTCTGGGCTCAAGCTCTGATGGAGAATCAGCTATACTCCTCCATCTTAGCCTGCTTTCTCTCCATGGCTGCTGTCTGACCCACTGTGATCTCCAGCATTTGTTGTTTTCAGTCTGGGTTCAAGTCTCACCTACAATAGAGGTGTCATAACAAGTCTGACTGGGTTGATTAAAATAACTAAAATGGGAGGAAATAAATAGTAACCTAACATTTGTGCACATATTTTGAATTCTGAATCATGATAAGCTAATGGGTTATACGACTCTTGCTGTTGCACAAGAAAGTGAGCCAAAGTACAGTTCCTTTACCATGGTAGGTATGATCCATGATGTCACTATCTGTACTATAAGTGGAGTAAGGAATGCTGCCTGCTGGAAGAAGATCAAACCCACAGTGTTGGCACCCACTGTTCATACCAGCTCTCCAGCTAACTAAGCAACCAGTTTCAAACAGTTGCCCTGTGTCACTACTCTCTAGTGTAGTTGAATTCGTTTCCACCTTGAATAACTGTCCACTCCCATTTATTACTTCCAGATAACATTTTGTTACTCTGGGGACCTACAGTTGAGAAAATTTGAAGAGGGTGGTGATGGTGGAAGATGGTGGAACAGTGAAGGTAGAAACGTTGGAAATAGAATGATTGTAGTCAAGAATTTGGACAGTTGTTGCTGAGGGAAAGCTTTGTGAGACAAAAAGAATAACTTGAGTGAAGAGTACAGGCATATCTGGATAAAATGCCACTAGAGGAACTCAATGAAAGGAATGGAATCTACAAATCAAATGGGAACGTAACCAAAGTAATTATGGGAGTAGTAGATTGTAAAAGATATGGTATCCTAGGACAAAGCAGCTGTTGCAGCAATGATAACAAGGTGTAGAGCTGGATGAACACAGCAGGCCAAGCAGCATCAGAGGAGCAGAAAAGCTGACGTTTCGGGTCTGGACCCTTCTTCAGAAATGGGGGAGGGGAAGGGGATTCTGAAATGAAGAGAGAGAGAGAGGGGGAGGCGGATGGAAGATGGATAAAGGAGCAGATAGGTGGAGAGAAGACAGGCAGGTAAAAGAGGTGGGAATAGAGCCAGTAAAGGTGAGTGTAGGTGGGGATAGGTCAAGGAGGCGGGATAAGGCTGGTTGGTAGGAGGTGGGGGTGGGGCTTGGGCTTGAGGTGGAAGGAGTGGATGGACAG